GGAGTGGAAAACATAGCATAGACATGCTTTCTTTTCTTATACATTTTAATGTGGATAAAAATTAAAATAAGGAAAGAAGTGATATGCTGGATCGAAATACAGGAACCAAAATAACAAAGGCAGTGTTTGGTTTTGGCTAGTTCCTCTGGTGGAGGTGTTCCCTCCCACTTCCCAATTGTTTCAGTCCAGATTAAGACTTTCTCCTTCTGGAACACTTCAGCTATGCAAGTCACGCAAGAAGAGTAACAAGCCAGAGAATATCATAGCTGTGACTGGTGGTTCAAAGTGTAACCTTATTTTTCCTTTGATAAATACCATACAGGGTACAGGTTTCAAAGCTTGATCTTTCTGATCCCATTAAACAGCTGTCATTCTCTGCTTCAAACAATGGTTCAGTCCCAGCTTGTAACTTTCGTCTTTTCCTCTTTACCCAATCAGATGATGACTTTCCCTTATGACATAAAACAGACAATAAAGCTTCCACACCATCAAGACTGTTCCGTTTAGTGCATTACAGGTAATCCTCGATTTATGACCACAATTGACCCCAAAATTTATGTTGCTAAGTGAGACATGGGTTAAGTGAGTTTTGTTTCATTTTATGATTTTTCTTGCAGTTGTTAAGTTAGTGATTCTGGCTTCCCCATTGACTTTGCTTGTTAGGAGGTTGCAAAAGCTGATCACATGATCCTGGGGCACCTCAACCTTCATAAATATAATCTAGTTTGTCAAGTGTCTGAATTTGCATCACATGGATTTAAAGTCTCGGTCAAGTGGAGTCTCCATCAAGTGGAGACTAAAACATATGAAGAACGGTTACAAGAACTGGGCATGGCTAGTCTAGTGAAGAAAAGGACCAGGGGACACATAACAGTCTTCCACAGAGAGGAAGGGGTCAATCTATTTTCTAAAGCACCCGAAGGCCAGACAAGGAATAATGGATGGAAACTGAACAAGGAGAGTTTTAACCTGGAAATAAGGAGAAACTTTCTGACAATGAAAACAATCAACCAATGGAACAGCTTGCCTTCAGAAGTTGTGGGAGCACCATCACTTGAGACTTTCAAGAAGAGATTGGACTGCCATTTGTCAGAAATGGTGTAGGGTCTCCTGCTTGGGTGGGGGGGTTGGATTAGATGACCTACAAGGTCCCTTCCAACTCTTATCTGCTATCTGTGATCATGGGGACACTGTAATAAGTGTCATAAATGGTCATAAATCATTTTTTTCAGTGCCATCATAACTTTGAACAGTCACTAAATAAACTATTGTAAGTCAAGGACTGCCTGCACTTGAACCAGCATCTGCTTCCCAGGACAGGTAGTCCTTGATTTACAACCACAATTGAGCCCAACATTTCTGTTGTTAAGTGACACATTCGTTAAGTGAGTTTTGCCCCATTTTACGACTTTCCTTGCCACATTTGTTTAAGTGAATCATTGTGGTTAATAAGGTAGTAACCCGGTTGTGAAGTAAATCTGGCTTTGCCGTTGACATTGCTTGTCAAAAAATTGCAAAAGGGGATCGCATGTCTCTGGGGCACAGTAAAGGTCATAAATGCAAACCTGTTGCCAAGCCTCTGAATTTTGATCACGTGATCATAGGGAGTTCTACAAAGGTTGTGACTGTGAAAAACGGTCATGAGTCACTTTTGCTCAGTGTCATCGTAACTTTGAACGGTCACTAAATGAACTGCTGTAAGGTAAGGACTACCTGTAGTTGGCTGGTCCTCTGCTTGTAAAGATTATTCTACTCTCCTAAGCCAAGCTAAAAATATACTTCAGAAATAATTGCTGTCTTCTTTCTTCCAAAATAGGCCAATAGCTAGAAGACCCCAGTGGCCATTATTTTTAAAACTGAAAACTTTGACAAGCTACGAATATGTCAAACTGTAAATATATTTGTATCAGACGTCTTCTTGGCATTTAACACGAAGTGTTTGACACTGACATTACATCTATTAACATTACCTTATTTGACTCCTCTCTGCGCTCTGATTCTGTAACAAAATACTAGTAGTGCTAAAGTTCATATCGGAAGACCTGCCCGGTTGGGGTATTTGGGGGTGTTCTTCAGCCTGGTTTGGTACAGCCTTGTTTCAAGGAATTTGATGAAATGTTTATAACAGAACCGAGTAAGAGAGTTGGAAGGGATTTTGGAGGTCTTCTTGTCCACTGCCTACTCAAGCAGGAAACCTTACACGATTTCAGACAAATGGTTGTCCAATCTCTTCTTAAAAACCTCCAGTGTTGGAGAACCCACAACTTATGAAGTCCAGTTGTTCCATTGATTTTTCTCACGGTCATGAAATTTCTCTTTAGGTCTAGGTTGGTTCTTTCCTTGATTCGTTTCCATCCTGTTCAGTGGTAGGATTCAAATTTTTTTATTACTGGTTCTGTGATGTGGCTTGGTGGGCATGACTTGGCTTGGTGGGTGTAGTAGGGGAAGGATACTGCAAAATCTCCATTCCTTCCCCATTCATGGGAGGTTACTGCAAAATCCCCATTCCCTCCCCACCTCACTAACCCGCTTTCCAGCTCCGTTCTCCTGTGCAGGGCAACAAAAGAAGACCCAGCTGATCAGCTGGGACTCGAGAGGCAGAGAATAGATGGGGGCGGGGCCAGTCAGAGGTGGTATTTGCCAGTTCTTCTGAACTACTCAAAATTTCTGCTACCGGTTCTTCAGAACTGGTCAGAACCTGCGGAATACCCCCTCTGATCCTGTTATATGAAACTAGGGAGCTCCATTGGTAGTAATGACTTATTGGATCAGATCTTTTATCTCAAGTGTTTTTCAGAGGGCAGGGGCTTAGATTTCACTGGCAGGCAAACAACATATGCTCTACTCACGTTCGCCAATGTCAGCTGATCTACTTTGTGAATAACAGGGGAAAGTGATTGGCAAAGAAAGTACCAGAAATAAGTGTGCCCCACTTTATCTAGAATGATGACAGTATTCAGGGAGGAGTACCTCAGCAATCCAGCATATGGTTGACATGCAGAAAATACCAGGCTCCATCAAGTAGCATTGCCTTGAGCAGCCATACCCAATCAATTGAAGAGCTTTTCCCAATTCCGGGGGAAATGAATAGATTAGTTAAACCAAGGGTGTAACAAAGTTAGATGACAGTCTTATCTTCATAAGCAGCAAACAGGCATTAGCTGAACATTATTGTGGAATACAAATACAACACATCAAAAGTCAACATTTGTAAGGGTAAAACTTAAGGCTGTAAATGAATATTTGTTTGAAGTTAGGAAAAAACAAATTTATTTTAATACAATTAAATTAAATTAAATACTGGTTATCACTCCATGTAAATTGATTTTGAAGGGATGCTGGGGGCTGCATTTTAGACTTTAGTGGAGTACATGAAACCCCAGAGCCTCAATTGTACATCAACGCATTTATGAAAACATCCCATATGCGTGCTCAAGGATTCTTATAACATTCTTGTCAAGTGGATCAGGATTGTCTCCCATTTTGCAGATAATAAGGAAAGAACTTTGAAGGAACAAGTACCGATTGATTCTTTTGAACTCTGATGTAGGAAAAGACTCCTGGAGAATACAATGGATGGCCAAGGCAGAGTGGTGGTTGGGAGGATCATCAAACAAAACAGAATTTACACTCAAGGCACAAATGACCTGGCTAAAACGATCCTATCTTTACTAAGTAAAGATCTGACACTCTAGAGAAGGCTCCTAAAGTAGGGAAAGGTGGAAGGAAAGAAGAGGACAACCAGCAGTAAGATGGATGGACTCAATTACAGTGGAGATAAGCATACCATTGGAAAGCCTAAAGGACCAGGTTAGAGAAAGTTTGAAAATTTTTTTACCCATATGGTCACCAAAAGTCAGTACTAACTTGATGGTACATAATCAATCAGATGAAATGGAGAGATTTTTGGCTTCCTAACACTGTTTAAAAATCTGTAACTTTAGCAATATTTGAACCAAGACCTTCTAAATACATAGAAACAGAATTATGGAGTTGGAATCATTTAATTCATCTTTCAGCCACAATTTGCATTTGTATAAGGAACCGTTGTTTGAATCCTACCAGTCACATGTGAATTAAGATTCTATAAATTAAAAAAAAACTTGGTTACTAAAGAGCATTATGTAGTCTCTCTTCAGCCATAGCTCTTCTATTACATCAAACTATATTTAGCAGAATCTTTGGTGGCTTAACTGGATAAGAGAGCTTCAAAGGCATTTGTTTACATGATAAATCAGGAATTAATTGTATGATTTTTGGGGGGGGGGGGATTCCTTTGAGTCAAAATGATACCTGGCCACTACCTGGACAGATCCCTGTAGTTTTATTGGCCAGAATTCTGAAGTGAATTGCCACTCTCTTTCCCAGGGCTGTAAGAGTAATTGACTCAAGGTCACCAAGTTGATTCTGTAGCTCCCAAGGCGGAGCTACAACTAGACAGCCACTCTCCCTTTTTCTAGCCCAACATCTAAACCACTACTCCAGACTGGTTTTATATGTTTCATACATATTTTACATGCTATAATCTATCCTTGTCCCATTTACCATATAGGTGGACAACTTGGAAGAATCCTTTCCTCTTTTTAGAAGACGCCATTGTTCTCCCCTCTCACTTCTTAACAGAATTAGACTACTAGAGTATGGAATGCAACTTCATTTTATAAAGAGGAGGCTGTCAGGATTCAGGCAGTTATTCCAATTAAATCATGAGCCTCGAGCCACACTCCCAAAACTAAAAAAGATTTATTTGAACGTAACATTCTACTTCCGGCGTTTACCTGGGCGTAGCCAACTCTGAGTTACGTAATTCACTGTCACCCTTGATCCTACTCCCCCCCCACCCCTCTGGGTATATCATCCAACGAAAAATGTCCATAGCCAAGAGTTATCAATCATGCTCTCCAATTAGATTTTTTCATGGCAGAAGCTTCAATCATCCAATCAGTGTTTGAAGAAAATATGAATGGAATGTACTTTCAATTCCACACTGCTGCCTGCTCTTTGAAACTCCCTCCCTTCTTTCTGTTGTCAACTATAAAGCATGTATACAAAATGTTTTATGAGTTGACTGAGGCATTGTGAGGTAAAATCTTATGTCTGGTTCCCTTCTATTCCTCAGTGTCTTTAAAGTGTTTCTTCTTGAAGCAGAAGTGGCTGTTATAGCCACCTTGTCACACCTACTTTCGAGTTTAGGTATACCGAATTGCTTTCCGTCTTAGCAAAGTATTAATGAATAATTTGAGCTATAATCAATGGGGCCCATATAGATCTTTTCTAAATTCCAGCACAATCCATTTGTACAAGGTTCTACTCTTTGGGGGAATTAATGTTCTTATGCCCTGGGCCAGGCAAATCTGGGCTTGAGATGTTCTTTGAAGATCATGAACAGAGAACATGTCCCTTTCAATAATAACTTACAGACTGCTCTTCCCCACCCCGCCCCCCATTTTACAAAGTTGAAAAACGGTAGTGAGTGCATTCCAAAATACATCTGGGGTTTGTTACATTAGGTCTGGTCAATATTCGGCATAGCCAAATAGAGCATGCATATTTTGCTACAAAGCACATGTTCAAAGACAAGCAAATTCATGTGTAAGTGGTTCCTATTCATATAGAATACTTTATAAAGGGTAGTGTTTTAGAACAATCCTATTAATTCACTAACCCAGTAATCCTTCCCTATTTAAAAACAGATTTGATCGACAGAATGCTTCAAAAAAACAGGAAGCCCTACGGAGTTGCCTATTCTTTTGTATTTTATATCCTTTGCATAATTTGTATTTTCTTTTTAATAATTCCACAAAATACAAATTTATTCAGTGAGGAAAGACCAAGTGTGTTGTTATTTTTAAAAATGGTAAGAACATTTGTGTAATACTTTCATTTGCCAGATGCCCTCTCCCTGAGCAAGCAAACTAGGACCTTCAGTTTAGAACCATGCAGCAGAAACATAAAGAGGTACTTCAGAAATAGGAATCCAGATTGCAAGTCCTGACATTTACAGATGCAAAGAAGTGCTCCTGGATGCAGGAGGTATATCTGGATAAGGCTGAAGCCCCATCTGTCGATTATCTTTCAGTTTTTGCACTATGATTCTAGCGACTTCTTCTCCTTGACTGTCAGTAGTATCAAGCAGTTGCCTGACTCTTGAGGTTCTTGTAGGTCTGGTGTTAACGAGTTCATAATCCTCTTTCATGATTAAATCCCTGGAGACAAGGGCATCTAAACACTGGTTAATGCAAGTGTCGGTCATCTGATGGACAATATCCTCTCTTTTAGTTTGGATCCAAGTATGAGCTACAGCAGAATCTTGTGACGGCATAGTCCTGAATATAAAGTCTAATATAGAGAAGAAGCAAAAAAATAAAATAAAAATAAAATCTGACTCAGTCCTAAAATAAAAATAACATCAAACTACACAGAGCAACTTAAGAGAACAGAGAATTTCCTCATTTTTTTAGTATGATACTTCAAAAACAAAACTGTGTCTTTTCACCGTTATTAAAATAAAAGCTGTATTCTCCCATTATTTCCTATATGCCAGCTTTTCCTTCAGGAGATCCTTAATTGTGTTATCTACCTTTTTATCGTATCTGGACACACCAACCATTGCTTTTGTTAGATAAAGATGATGAGCATTTATGATCACCTGAAGGTGAAAGATGGTAAGGCAGACCACACACATTGTTGCAGTGTGAAAATTCCCAAAGTTTAGACTAACATTTCTATTTTGTTGTTTTACCTAAATATTAGGGTCACCTAAAGCATTTGGAGACTGTTGTTTGGGTATTAAGCACATAGTGTGTTTCAAAAATCAGTGTGTCCCACTTTGTGGTTCTCTCCAACGAAAGAGACAATCCTAGTAGAAATATGTCCACATGTTCCAGAAAAAACTGCCTTCTATAATGTACTTCCAAATGTTTTGTATAACATAGCTTACAGAAAGCCTTTTTTTTCTGATTGGTTAAGTTTCTTTTATATGTCCACTTCATTTTTATTATACTCATTTTGTTCTAAATACTATTTTAAGGAACACATTTTAAATGTTATTTAATGTTGTAAATCAAGATGACAAAAGATTAATTATAATCCTCATTCCAAAGTGCGTAGCTGGAGATTTTCAGTCATCCAGATCATGGTTGTCCCAAAGGTGCTTGTTCAAGAGCTGAGGAAGCTTCTTGGATGAGAAGCGAAATGTCTTCAAAGTAAAATCAGAAAGCCCAGTTGCCTCTTGAAAAAGCACCTTTGGTTACAATCCTCATTGTGTAAAACAATCACAAATTCTGCAGTGACATGTAGCTCTCTTCAAAAGTTTCACCTTCTATATACTTTCCATTTTCTTTTACATTCTTAAACTGGGTATAAGCTGAAACCATAAAATGATTAATAGTTACAGTATATCACTATCTGAAGAATTTTATTTCTGATCAATGCTTGTGAGATGGTCAATAATACATTGCCACCAAGAAAAAAAATAGTTTTCTTTTTATAAATGCCCCCCCCCATAACTCTTGCAAATATATAAAAGAGAATAATGCATGCCCATTGGTGAAAATTGTGTTGTTATTTCTAGAGAGCTGATCTAGTTATATAATAAAACAAATTGATCAAGAGTAGGGTTCAAAACTCTCAGCTGCATACCTGGATTAGCTCCTGATATCTGTAGCAAGCCTGGAATGGAATTTGATGAATTAGAACTATCTGTGTTAGATGAGGAACTTTGTTGAGATACGCAAGACTGAGTAATCTGGGAGTGTGGGACATAACTGATCAGCGAGTGTGGTTCATCCTTAACTATCACAAAAGAAAAGTATCTCATTAATTTAAAAAAGTAAAAATAAAAACAAAGCACAAAAAAACCCCAGAACTAGTCCGTCATTTACCTACAATTTACCTACCATCCCAGCCATGCTGCACCACACCAAATGGCTGCACCACAATCAGTAAATTGATTTTTCTTTCTTTCTTTGGGTTCCTCTCATTATCCCAACAAAAAAAGTTATTTTTATAAACCTAAAAGCACTTTTGTTCTCCTGAAATATAATCTGGTATCTTCCAAACGTGTTGCACTGTACAGTACGGCTGTTGGTAGTATAGTTGGCAGTGCTACTCATAGATGAGACCAGCTGCAGCCCAATGGGTTGCAATCAAATTCATAAATCAGAAAGACAGGATAGAAGGAAGGACAAATGGATTGAAAAAGAAAGCAGGGAGATCAAAACTAGAACAAAATGCAAAACCATAATGTGATTGTTATTTATAGCTGCAACCAAATTTGTGATTTCTTGTTGGTATTTTGGTTTTTTTTTGGCTAGAAAACCAAATGTTGCATCTTGACATAGTGAGACTGAACTTCCTTTTAATTCTACAGATCTAAGATAAAACTACCTTTTATTACACAAATTTATTTTTATTTAAAACAATATAGTAGAAATCTATATATCTATCCACAGAATACTTTAGAAAGAACACTGATTATTGTAGAATACAGATAGTCCTCAACATGATCACAATTGAACCCAAAATTTCTGAGGGTAAGTGAGGCATTTGTTAAGTGAATTTCACCCCATTTTACAACCTTGTCACAATTGTTACGTGAATCACTGCAGATGTTCAAATAATAACATTGTTGCTATGTGAATCTAGTTTCCCCATAGACTTTGCTTGTCAGAAGGTCATAAAAAGTGAGCACCTGATCCCAGGACACTGCAACCATCATAAATATGGCTCAGTTGCCAAGTGTTTGAATTTTAATCACATCACCATGTGGATGCTGCAAAGGTTCTAAGTGTGAAAAATGGTCTTAAGTCACTTTTCTCAATGACATTGTAACTTTGAACGGTCACCAAATGAACTATTTAATTCGAGGATCACTTGAACCAGTCTTGTCCACTTGTACAAATCTTATCCTGGATAGTATGCTATTGGCTCAACTCTCTTTTGGTCCAATCTGTTAACAACATTCTGTGAACCAGAGAGACACTATCTAATTATGCTGCACTCATAAGAGTTGAGGGCAGTGGTGGGATGCTGCCGGTTAGTTGCGACAATCAGATGGCCCTGCTCACCCGCCCCATCCTGTCCTATATTTTTCAGCTCAGCTGATTTGTGTGGCACAGTGGATTTCCGCACCTCAGCTTTTTACTTACCGGGGCTGCCCTAGAAGTTAAGCTGTAGAGGTCAAAATTGGTGATTTTTGAATGCTGCCTGTGAAGAAGAAGAAGTCATTAAACCAGTTGCAGCCCACCACTGGCTGAGGGGTCCTTGGTGATCTCTGAGCTTGGTTTTTTTTTCTTTCTTGCAGATGGTTCATTACCCAAACTAAGTAAAATCATCAGTACTAGTCTGAAGACTCTAGCACTGATAACATTGCCTACTTTGGGTAATGATATGCCTTTAAGAAAACAACCAAGCTCCGAAAACACAGGGAGCCCTCATTTGAACCCTGAGCTGCAAACATTCTCCTTTATTGTTATCCATAAGAGGATTATGTAATTTGCCTATGATCAAACTGCAATTGTGTGAAGAGGACATACCATCTGAAAGGAGGTTGCATGGTTTTGATATATTTTTGGGAACACTTGATGGATAAGATTGATCATCTTGGGATGAACAGGAATTCTGGAAAGAACAGAATCACATGGAATAGAGATTTTTGGTTTAATTTTTTCAATTGGTAAAATTTAGCAAACAAGTACAATGAACCCAAAATGAACTGGTGATTATGCTAGATATACAGTATTTAAAGCCTTACTTACACGTCAGTAATTAAAACAAACATACACACACAAAGAAAAACCTACTACGAAATGATAAAAGAAATCGTATTTCCATTTTACAGAGTTATCTGCTCTTCTTCAAAGATCTGTGGTGTTTCTCTGTGATTTCCCCAAAGAGAAAAGCCATTTTTCCTCTTTTAAAAATTTCTAGGAAGGATGCTATTTCTTAAATGTGGTACAAATTCCCATTGTACAATACAATCAAATCAGACAGGTAATGCAGCAGGAGGCAGCCTAACGCCACTTGATACGGTGTGTAAAGTTTCTCCCCACCCTCTTCCCGAAGAAAACTTTAAAAAAGTGTTTTTGGCTATTTGATCTTTAAAGGATGAGCCCTTCCAAAGTTCAGAAATTTTCACACAGGCATTTTCCAAACCCTTTTTGGAGGTTAAACAGCATACAGAGTATCAGCTACTGACTGATTGAAATGACTCTCAGTGTTAGATATTTTTCAATGTCTTCAACAGAGGAATGTATTAGACATGCAAATATTATATAGTTTCTGACTGTAAACGCTAGAAGATTTGTTTATTTCAAGGACAATAGTGGTCTGAAGACACCACTTCATGCCTAGATTTAATCCCAGTTTTACCTTTTGGAATCTATTCTTTTTAAAATTCATACTTGTTGTGTGGCATTCAAACATGAAGCAGGCATCCTCCTGTATCATAGTATGATAAGCAGGGACCATGTTGGGCATTTGCCATTTATCAGAGCTTATCTCCTGCCTTGGTGGTGGTGGTGGGTGTCTATGAATATGCTAATTTATAGGTGTGCCTATGATTAACATAGTATAAAGTTGTTAGCTATCCCCTGAAAGAACCTCAACAAAGGTCTGAAATGCTGAAATCCTTGGCAAAGAGCTCATTGTTTAGCTCATCATAAACCTTTGCATCACTGGATGAAACATGTTTCAACCCAATATAGTTTACAAATGAAATAATCATGTATTTTTTCTGACTCTCTACAAAACTGAGCACTAATCTTTGGCAAAAAAATAGTTTAACCATATTAAGATGTTTATGATAATAATAGAAAAAATGTTTTACCTGTTGTATACTAGTGTTCAGTGGTATATTTAAAGACATTGATTCATCATTGGATATCTTGTTAGGCAAATGAACACAACTCCACTCATAGTGTTCCTGAAGGAGACATTGGCATAAAACAAAACGGTGTTATGAAATCGAAGCATAATTATGAGACAAAATACCCAAGAATCCTGCATCTGAGTAAGGGTATGTGGGAGAACACAATTTGGGATATGTGCTCACTCACGTACAGCCAACTGCTTGCAAAGATTTTTATTGTTTAACACAGCAATACATAGAATTTATTTTATAAATAAACTATAATTTATAATTTTTATATTATATAAATATATTGAAATATAACAAAAATAAACAATACATAAGGAAATGGACAGGATGTCTATGGAGATTCTCAGTCATCTAGGTCATAGTTGTCCCAAAGGTGCTTTTTCAAGAGGCAACCAGACTTTCTGGTTTTTCTTTGAAGATGTTTTGCTTCTCATCCAAGAAGATTCTGAGGTTTCTTGGATGAGAAGCAAAGTGTCTTCAAAGAAAAACAAGAAAGTCACATTGCCTCTTGAAAAAGCACCTTTGGGACAAATGGACAGTATATCTCTTTAGCTAAACATGCTTACAGTTCTATCTGTAATCAGGTACCCCACCAGGGTAGTTTTCTGATTATAAATATCTCCATGGTCTTATGATCCCATAAGCTCCCATATATCTTAGTATATAATTCAGACTGGGCAAGCGAACGTCTGCATATGGTTAATAGTATGAGAATTCCAACTTCAGATACATGGATAGCCACTTTCTTTTGGGGAATAATTTCTATTCATAATAGATTATAATATGAGCACTTACTTTGGCCCTCTTTAAATCTATTACTGCTTCAAGCATAGGTATCTCTTCAAAGGTCCTCATCACAGATTCAAGATCTATTAAGCACCCTAAACAAAGATACTCACTATTAGGTCTCTTAACAGAAAGTTTAAATTATGGAAATTACATTCCTGAAAAATATTTTAAAGCATACTCTCTAAGGCCAATTTGAAGGATGTCAAAACCAACTATTCCTGGATAAAACTAGATAGTAATACATCTTATATATCCAACAGATAGGGAACAATTAATGTCTATTAGTTGTTTGACATTTTAACACAATTACCCTAAGAGATTTGGACTCCAGAAAGCCTTAATGTTCTCCCAGGCCTTAGGGTAGGATGAATTGAATTCCTTGTAGATATGTTATATATTATTGTGTTAAACAGTCACACAGATTTGCCGTTTTGCTTATTTTTCTTACGGAGTGCTTTATTTATTTATCATTTATCTTATTATTTTTCTTATCTTACTGTGTTTGTTTGTTTTTAATATTGTGAGTTGACATGTTACATAAGTAAACAGTGTGTATATTTCGCTTGAAACATTGCTTTCAGGCTCACCAAACTTTACTTAAACTTTGGTATTAACAGAATTACAATCCCAGCCATGTTGTGTCTCCTATCTCTCCCTCCCCACTCCCTTCCCCAGTCCAATTGAACAGGATGAACCTATAACCTGCCAGACCCCACCTGTGTGAACTGTATCATCATCTCGAAGATTTTCACAAATAAGGTAAAATGAATCTCCATCATACAAGCAGTCCTAGAGGCAACATGAAGGCATTCCAAAGATAGCGCACTGGATGATCACAGTGGCAACTATAGCTTGTTTTCTCTTCCTTCATCCTCCATTTCTTCAAGCTTACTCTGTTTAGATATTCTTGTGAGAATAGGAATATTGCATTGCATGTCTTGGAACTGTAGTGTTAACATTATTTCACATAATTACTATTTTAGTGAGCGCTTAATGCTGGTTAAAATTAAGTATGTTCCGATAAACTTATATTACAATGTGATAATGCATTATTTCAGATACTACATGAACTAAACTGAAATTATTGCATGGACCTTGCTTATAACTGATTCAGACTAAAGTGACTTAACATAGAAGTTAAGAAATCAAATGTTTTTGATTTCAAAACTTTCCAGAAAAATGTCCTGTCATATCATATTCTGAAACCTGCTTACTCAAACAAAGAAAATGTTGGCAAGAGATTTAAATCTCTTAAATCTTAAGAAATTCACCAAATTATTATTATTATTTAGTTTCACCAAAACTGAACAAAAAACAAGGTTAAGGCTTCTGATGTTATAATTTAAAAGATGACTTTTAGAGTTTTCCCTCTTAATAAAAAAAAAAAAAGAAAAAATACTGAATGAACACACCAAATCACAATCTACAATCTTGGTATGATTTTAAGAGCCTTTCAGTACTGAATAACTGCCATGGACAGTTTGCTGAGCACATAGCCAGAACAGGAACCAGGAAATATCAGGGTTAAGAATTTGCATGCAACAAACATATAACATGCTTTAGGTATGCTGCAGAGTATGGGTAGAATCATATTGACACGTTCACTCTTTTCAGTCACTCCAGTGAAATTGGATAATCAGGCTACAATACAGAAGCAACCCTCCCATTCAAACACATATTTTCACATTTAAGAACAGATTTTTACGCTTTAGGTGCCTAAAACCAAGGGCCCAGATCATACAGACAGCTCTATTTCTATTCATACAATTGCAGAAAGCCTCTCAATCAGCTAAATGCATGAAAATTGGGAAGAGAAGAAAACCAAGGTTCCATTTTTCATCAATTTGGAATGCCTATACATATGCAAGTAAATGCCTGGAGGGTGTGAGAACCTCCCTAATACACTGGAAACATGTATTATCTGCTGCTTTTTTTTAATTGTCAAGAAAAGTCCATCTTTCAATCTATTCTTTGCTATTCTATAAATAGAAATACTGAGCAAAACTGAGTATTCATATAAAAATTGTTCTAGCCGTTTCTAAGTCTAGAATACTGACACTAGAACTTTTCTGACTTGTATGCCAATATAAAATACATGAATATAAGTAGTCCTTAATTTACAATCAGCTGCTTAGCAACTGTTGAATTAATGACCGACCCGAAAAAAGGGACTTATGACTTGGATGTGAAATAAAAGTTAGTCACACGATTGAACTTCGAGCACTCAACAACACGGTTGCATTTACGGCCGTTACTGGAGCGTCATTTGCAGTTGTATTTTACAATGGTTTTGCTGAAAACTGGAACTTGCTTCCAGATTTTGGCAAAACTGCACCCATAGTGAACCTTTGTTTCCTTAATGACTGCTGCAAAAAAGTCAAATGAATGACTCTTTTTATGACCACTGCGATATATCACTGTCATCAGCAGACTCCATTATGGTTGTATGTTAAGGACTACCTTTACCCAAGGAAGCAACCAGATTGCTTTCTATGTATTCACCCTATTTAAATTTAAATATTAAAAAATTATATAAATTGACTATGATAATATAGTATTAGTTGTGACATCAATGGCTTTCTGAATCCATACCAGATATCTGATTAGTACAAATGTATCCATTATTATTGGATGGTTGTGTTACTGTTTGGGTTGTTCTAAAGCACTAACTAAACAATTTTACAAACGAACCATCATAAAATTAGCCACAGACTTTCTATCTCAGTTCTGCACAGCAGGGCTGTGCAGAGACAGCAGCCACATGGGACTAAGATCTGATTGCTTTAAAGGTTCAAGAAGAGGTCCTTCACTCATGCTCACATGCTTGGAGAATTACCGTTTTTATTCCTCCATGTCTAGCAACTGTCTCAGTTTTGCAATTCAGCTGTAAAATGGGAAAAAGAGTAACCATAACCCCACTGATGGTTTAAAAAGGCACAAGGAAGACTTGCTTGACTGAGCAACTTTCAATGAATTGATAATCTCAAAACTTCCTTCTGCAATTGAATCACAAAATAAATACAGGGCTACCTATTAGGTGGACATTTCCCCTTAGTCAACAAGCCTGTACAGGATTACAATGTTTAAGGGGAAAAGGTGCTTCAGGATTTTATTGGTCATGGACCGAGCATTGGCCCACAACATGTATTTTTGTCTGTTTGGAATGGAAAGTGTGGCCATGTGACTCCAGGAAAAAGCACAGCTGCTTTAACAAGGTGTTGGCTAATGTTCCACCAAAGCTTCTTTGTCCATTGAATCCAGCCATTGAATCCCATCCAGGTGATGGAAAAGACCTACCTACCTATTTTTATAATGGTAAAATAAAGCTTAAAGGCCAATGCAAGTTATACTTAATAACTTTAATAGACAAATAAAAGCAATCCCAAGTAATACCTGAGATGCTTCCAGCCGTTGAACAGTCTTGAACATGGTGTTCTAGTGTGGCTTTTCCTCCATAGAGTTGATAGGGGAGCAAGAGAAGCACTTCAGCAAGTGCAACAAATATACAACAGCAGAGTGTAGCCAGAGCTTCTGAATTACCTGTCATATAGAGAAACTCACTTGAAAAAGATGGTCTTTCCTCTGGATTGGGTGCCCAAGCAGATTCCATTAAAGACACCACCAATTCTCGGTAAGGAATATCAAGGGGCAAAGTCTCTTCCCCAACATCTGGACGCTTCCCTTGTGACATGCTAAACATAATTTGCAAGTAATGTATAACGTCTGCAAAAGTCAATACATGCATGTCTTAGAAATATATATATGTGTATTTCTTCCAATTTTAGAAATTGAAACATAAATAGTAAATTCATATTTTAAATAATATTGTGATTTAACCTAATTTAGAAATTTTAAATGCAAAATAATTATCCTGCCCTTCCTACTAATATTCTGCAATATGTGGTATTTTTATTACAATACAATAGTATAATACAATATAAGCTTAAGACAAAGGGGAAACAATGGTCTTTAAAAATACTGTTCTACATTAATCTAAATTTTAACAGGTTATTTTAACTCAGCTATTCTTTAACAGAATTAGATAAAGACAAAAATCTGACCTTCGAATGGTTTTTTTCTTGACATCACTTCCCACATAATAATGGCATAGCTGTTACAAACAAAAATGCATCTTAGTATGTATTTTTATATTTGCTATTTTTCCCCAAGGCAAAATAATCTCAGTAAAATGAAAATATCCCAGTTACTCTTGTTTTGTGGGAAATCTACGTCCCAACCCAACAACAAAGCAAGGATATTAGTGTTCGAAATATTCTCAGTGACTAGTTGGGACAAATACCTTTGGTATCTTAAAAACACAGTAATTTCTTTTTATATTCAACATTTGTGTAAATACATACATACATACATACATACATACACACACACACACACACACATATATATACATACATAAAATAGACCTATTACACCTAATACAAATACAAGGATACTTTTTCAAATGTTATTTAAATATTAATTATATCAATTGCATTCTTGTATCAGTATATCCCTCACCTACTAGAAATTAAATAGAGTACATTTTAGATTTCCATGCTAATTCTATTCTTATGTAGCCATAAAAGAATCTTTGGAAGTTTTCACATCTATATTTTATTGAATACATCCCCTTTTTGTATACATTTAGCAAAAAGTCCTTCCATACAAGATACGGCATCTTAAAATCAGAAGCTGACTTTTTTCAAGAACATGTGATTAAGATGAACATACATCCAAATGCCTAGGATTAAACTTTTCTTTATTTAAAATGGAAGCAATGTTTTTGAAAATATGCAGGAAACTGTACTGAAAGAGAAGATAAAGCAGTTCTTTCAGCAAATCAGAGGTTATTGTGATAGCTGGATGTAGTCTTTGGATAGGTATCATTGTTGCTAATATAATAGTAATAGATGCATAATAGAATTCTTTATTGGCCAAGTGTGATTGGACACACAAGGAATTTGTCTTGGTGCAAATGCTCTCAGTGTACGTAAAAAATACATTTGTCAAGAATCATAAGGCACAACAACACTTAATAATAACCATAGGGTACAATATGCATGCACAAAACACTGGAACAGTCAAAGTCCTTAATGAAATATGTAAACTCTATACCTTGACTTACACATTGTTAGTTAGTTAATACTCCTGCAAAAATTCTCTGAAGGGTAGCTTTTCACTAAATTAAAAATGCTTGACTTGCTTTAAGTAACCTAAAAAGGGTTAAAATGTTCCTTTCAAGAGGCTAGTAATAATAAGTTTGGATTAACATTTTTGTGACCCTATTTCACAATAAGATGCAGGGGTGTGTGTGTGTTATTTGAAACTTAGGGATGAATTTTCCAAGCATGTGTACAATACAAAGCCTGAGAGAAGGCATGCATGAAAAAAGCTTGCATTATGCAAGACATAACAGGATGGCAAAGTCATAATTGTATACAGGAACCCATTCTTAAATTGTCTCTAGAGGCACTTTAAAAATTTAATGAAACTGACTGGCAAATACCAGATACAAAAGTGCATTGGTTTTGCTGACTGCTATTGAACAAGAAAAGAAAAGAAATATATACCAAATAATACATAGCTGATCAGAAACACCACTAAGAAAACAATCTTCCTAATGAAAAAAATGCTGTCTTTAGCCTCCAAAAAGAAGTATGAAGTATTTCTATGCAGACTGAGACACCAAAGTATACAACATTTTGGGCCTTTAAATCTCACTGCATTTTACATATGTTATTTGTAATGCCCAATATGGCTAATTTTTTAAATTTTAAAAAATAAGCACACGCTGTTCTGAAAAACCATAATAGAATAATATACCTGTATATATCATGCTTTACACTTGAACATATTTTGCTGGTATCATAACATTCAGGTGGTATGTAAATGATGGTCCCTCCCTCAGACATTGATTTATCTCCTTTTGAAAGTGACATGGACACCATGCGCCACTTTGATAAACCAAAATCTGCAATCTGAAAGATGGAAAAGAAGCTCAGGTCACCATGAGCAGCTCAGAGACACAAAGGCTTAGGCCCATTAAAAATATCTACTTTGGTCAAAGAAAGGCTCCTTTTATGAGAAGCAGCTTATTTTTTTAACAAAACCTTTAAATTGCAACAATTATTTCAAAAAGGTGAGGAAGAAATGGCAGGCAGATCAGAAAACAAAAGGGACTGACTGATTAAAGAATGAAACCATAAAATACTTTTTGTGAGAATTTGTTAAGCTAGGTAATATGGAAATTGCCAGCATCACATGTGTGTGTGTGTACACAAACACACACACACACACACAAAATATGCCACTTGCTTTACTAGACATACTTTTAAGTCATTAGACTAACCTTGAGCAGAGTTCAAATTTACCAACAGCAATGTTTTATGTTATAAAACTAGAATCATGGTCACCACAAGCCTTCTTAAAGTTCTCATTCAGTAAGTGGTGATTTTTACTTCCCTTTTAAGACATAAATCTGAGCAATGCAATTGTCTTCTAAGACACAATATTGTTTTTCTGTATATCAATCACACAAATGAATTAGAAAATTGAAAGGAAATTTAATAAATTTGCAAACTTCTAAAAATATGATATGTAGAAAAGAAGATGGAAACTGATCTCTGTTGAAATTCAAGGGGAGGACTAGGATTAACAGGTTAAAATTAAAAGAAAGGAGATCAACATTATTAGGAGGAGTTTTCTGATAAGAGCTGTTAAACAGTGGAATAGGCTAGAACAGGGGTGTCCAACCTTGACAACTTTAAGACTTGTGGATTCAACTCCCAGAATTCCTCAGCCAGCAAAGCTGGCTGAGGAATTCTGGGAGTTGAAGTCCACAAGTTTTAAAGTTGCCAAGGTTGGACACCCCAGGGCTAGAACAATGGGGGATTCCCCTCAATGGAGGTTTTCAAACAGTGGCTGAAGTTGCTTGTTAGGGTAGTTAGTAGATTTCACTCATGCATAGTGAATATATAAAAAAGAGACAAGGGTTCAAAGACATGATATTGTGCTTGCCATCTGCTGCAGATGCCTCTGTACCACACTGAGCAGGGAACTGAGCTAGATGACTATAAGGTTTCACTCAAACAAAACTAGGAAAACTGGATTAAAAAATAAACTACTTGAATATATAGTCAATTAAGCGGATTGTTTTTAAATTGGCAAAATTCTTTAAATTGGCAAAGAATTTGGGAATATTTAGTACAAATCTAACTGAATTAAAGTTGCAATTATAGCTTTCCCCTTTTCATTTTCAAAGGATTTAGCAGTGGAACAGCTTCAAAGGACTTCTGGTAAAACTTGGCATAATTTTAGGAAGTAGGACTCGGGATACTTCAAGTGTAAAATGCTCGTGTCTTATCTCTTTCTCTCTGATTTTTTGTGCTGTCCATCTCTTCTCAACATTGATCTGTCTTATCTCACTTATGTGCAAGATTTTTCTCTGTACTGTAAAGTTTCTACCCCTAATTTTTCCACTTCTTCTCTGTAGAAGAGCCCAGCCTTACCTTAACATGGAACTCACTGTCAAGTAAAATATTCTGGGTCTTCAAATCATGGTGCATGAGTGGAGGACTCAGGTTGTGAAGATAATTTACTCCCAAAGCAATTTCATACAAAATGCGATACCTGAGTGACCAAGCAATGTCGGGATAGATGTTTTTCTATTTAGAAGAGAGGAAGAACACAACACATGGCGATACAGAGAGACAGACTGGAACGGTTGAAAGAGCATCTTGAAACTAGCTGATCTACCGGCTTATGTATTTATTTATTAAATTTTAAAACCACCCATCTCCCTCACAGACAGACTCTGAGTGCTGTACAAGGATGATTAAAATGTTAAAAGTTAATTAAAAGGTGGGGAGATCTTTTCAGGGCACTAACCAGCCCCACAGCTATGTGTGTCTCTGTGAGCTCCAAGCAAAGCAGTAGAGCCATGTTTTCCAACCTTTGCAAAAGGCCAGGAGAATTGGGGTCTACCTCACGTGGGGCGGGGAGAATGTTCCAAGGCCAACACAGAGAAGGCTCTTTTTTGGACTCTAGCAGTCAGAATTCTTTAGCTGACAAGGCCTTCATCATAATTTCTCCCTGATTGACAGGATGGGATGGGCTATGTAATGGGATACTATGGATAAAATGTAGCACTCTCTGGTCAGCAAATTTTGCCCACAGTCAGGAGTTCGAACCTAAATAGCTGAAGGTTGACTCAGCCTTCTATCTTTCTGAGATCAGTAAAATGAGGACTCAACTTGTTCGGAGAAATATGTTGACATTGTAAACTGACCAGAGAGTGCTGTAAAACACTGTGGAGCGGAATATAACTCTAAGTGCTATTACCATTGCTATTGTCAAGATAACCTGAAGACGTCTTCCTTAAATCACCAAGAACTGACCTCAACTAGGTTAACACCTTTATCCTTTACCAATTGCCCAGTTTATTTACGTACACAATAATTAAAACTTCCAATTAAAAATTAATAAAATTAATTGCACAACAAAAACTATTTCACATTCATTCTCAATCTATAACAATGTTTTGAACATAATAAAGAAAAAAAAAGATATGTTCTGGAGAATGGCTATATTCAGTAGCTTTTTAGAGATTCCCTAAAAGCACTTTTCATTCCATATCAATGCATGAAGATGGGGAACTTGTTCTCAAATTTCTGGACTAAGACACAACACTGGTTAGAACATGTGCTCTTCTTCTTTCTGATGCATTAAGTTAACTCAGTGTTTCTCAGCTTCAGCAGAAAATATGTGCACTTCAATTCCCAGAATTCCCCAGCAAATATAAGTTAGGGTTTCCATATTTTAAAATTAATAAAGTATCTCTATATGCTTGCTACAGTTGTGCATACTTACCTCATATAAAAGTTGGTTCAGTGATCCATTAGGCATATATTCTGTCACAATACCCAGAAACTGAGGTTCATTGCAAATTCCCAAAATTGGCAGAATGTAACTGAACCTTGCCTGATGTAAAATTTCAGCTTCTTTTAAGAGACTGTCTCTCTCACTATAAGAATAAATGGCAAAACAATAGTCAGATTTACTTATCTTCCAGGTAATAGTACTTAAAATGTACATTGTGGAAAGACAAGGTTAAAGGAAAATAATGAAAGGCTTGTTTACATATTAATTTATTTAAATGTGTCCTTTGTCTTTGCATCTAAGTCAAAATATACAGTTGTTTTCAATTCTTTTCCAAGGATTTTCATTTTGAAGATAGTCTTACTTTTGTTCGTCATTCTTTGGAGTATAGCAAACTATATTTCCTACAGATTTATACATTTTTACCTTAAAATCAGTCCTAGCAAGTTTGTTCAGACATCAAGGGAATTTAGAATTTTAAACTGGGACCAAATCATAACATGAATTTCTGCTTCCATTTTAGGTGTGAATAAAAGTGCTGTTTGAAAATGTTAGCTTCTTTTTTGTATTTCCAACTATTGTCTGTTTTATTGAAACAAGCCGGCTGCAAACTAAATATTAATGATCATTAAAAAAAAGTTAGGGATAACTAGTTTTATTTGACATAATGCCGAAGGGTACATACAAGATATCTGCATCTTGTTTCTGTGATGAAAACTTAGTGCCTCTTCTTTGTGAGAACTAGAATTTTGGTTCTAATAAAGGCATCCAAATTATAATTATCTTCCGATAGTCATTTCATGTCTCCAATTCATCTGATATGATGACCATATTTGGGCTGCAGAATCAAGATGACGAACAGATACAGCAAAGAGAATCATCTTTGCTGCCTTCTACTGGTAGTTTGCATTTTTCCCAGTCTAGGCACAATAATTGAATTATTAATTGCTACAAAGCTGGTGTGGTTGTGCCATTGTGTAATAGGGGAGCTGAGTACAATCCTCAAAACTAGAGCTTTGTAATTTAGAAAACAGTAACATATAAGACTCAAGACAAAGTAGTAATGCATTTAGAACAGGTGTGTCAAACGTGCAGCATCACGGCATTGTCACATGATGTATCACGACTTCCCCCTTTGCTAAACCAGGTATGGGTGTGGCCAGTGTGTGCACGGGCTGCGAGTTTCACAGTCCTGGTTTAGAACTATATGCATTAGATTGAAGGATCAGAGATGATAAGGCTGTGCTGGTGGATACATTTGGAACTGTGCCAGGAATGTTAGTAGGCTACGAAAGTTACTATGATAAAGAACTGGGAAAAAACAAAAAAGGAATCTTACACTGAAATTAAGGAGATATTAAAATGGCACTTCTTAATTAAGATATCATGTCTATTAAAAATGGTAAAGGTACCGTATATCTTTTACAAAAACATTTCCACCAAAGGGAATCAATAAGTAGAGACTAGACCAGTGACGGTGAACTTTTTCGGCACCGAATGCCAAAATGGGAGCAAGTATGAGTGTGTGTGCTGGAAACTGGAAGAGTAGCCAGTTTCTGGTGTGCATACATGCATGAAGACCAGCTGGCGGGGCACATGTGTGCATGTGAAGACCAGCTGGCTGGCATGCTGGAATCTGCAAGAACAACGGGGGCCGGCTCGTGTGCCTAGAGATAGCTCTGCATGCTGCTTTGCCATCACAGGACTAGACTATGAAGGGTGATGCTTCAGAAATGCTTTTTTGATTCTTTTCAACTGAAGCTTGAAATATAGCCTGCACAAGAAATCAGGAAATCCAGGCAGTTCAAATGAATTTAAAGTTTTATTGAAAGCTTAAGCTCACTACAAGAATCTGAACTATTAACAGTCAAAGCAAATTGGCAGTAGATAAGAGTCAATGGAATTTAAGGTGGCTGGACTTAGATCTCCTGTAGGCACAAATGGACTGGAAACTGATGACATTTGACCTCTCCCTCAGCCTGGTCCTTTATATACAGGACCACAGCTCCTTTATATTACCTGTTTGTTTGGAGATATTTTTGGGAGAAACTTAAACTACAGTATGAGCAGATGTTTTGATTACATTCAAATAAATTACACTTATTTTCTCCCCTCCCCGTCTCTCTGTATGTGTGTGTGTATGTGTAATATGTGAGAAAAAAAAATCTGGGCAATGTCTTAGATTTTATCATCAAATTGTCCTAGTTTCCCAACATCTATCAAGGACCTTCTTATCAGTTGATGTCTGAGCTGGACTGACACTTTTTCTTCACATCACACTTTTGAGATAGGTAGGTGAAGCGTTAGGGAGCTTTTGCCCAAGGATCCCCATTGGTAAGATAGGTATCAGCCAGGAGTTGAATCCAAGAATCCCACATCAAAAGTGGCATTATAACGTATGCTATATTATCCAGCCACTCATCAGAAGACAGCGGTGGTGATAGAGCAGTGCCCAATTACAGCAACATCAAGAAGAAGTATGAGAAGAAGGAAAAGTACCAAGGAGGAACTAGAAAGCAAAGGAAAGTGGAAAGTAAAGGCCAAAGTGGTCCCAGTGATGGTAGGAACACTTGAGACTATGACTCCAAACTAGGACAGTTGCTCCAACAGATTCTGTGAAAAACAATAGAGTTCTCTGTCCAAAAGAGTGCAGTGCTAGGGACAGCTAAGATCCTGAACAGAACCTTCAAACTCCTAGACGTTTGATAGAGGACACAAGATTGAGGAAGATGCATATCATCCATAGGAGGTGAGAATGGAATTTATAGACAGAGAGTAAGAAACAATCAGCCAATGAGTTGGATTGGAAGTGGGCTTTGTTATTCATTAGAAAGTGACAAGCAATACCATGATAAACTTGGCACACTAATCCATATAGGAAATTGCCCTCAGTTTTCTACGTTTCTGATTCTATTCACATTTCAAGAGGGAAGCAATATTTTTCCTTTAGGGAAATCTGCATCATCTGCTCCTCCCAAAAATCATATCTCACTGTCTGGAAAATGTGTATGGAGTTCCCCTTTTGTACATTTTACAACAGGCTTGAGAGAAAAGCATGCGTGAGTCACACACATGGTTATCCTGTCATTTCTTCACAAAGGCTTCTCAGAATACAGCTATGCTGTTAATAATTTATCACAAGGCAAATAATCTTCCTAAAACTGCAAAACCAGTAGACCCAACTCTTCGGTGCAGCCATGTAAACCATCTCTGAAGGTTATTGCTAAAGTGCAATTTTAAAAATCAAAAAAGTAAATAGGAATAATCATACATACTGTATTCTGATTAAATCTAGTTATTATTTATTTTTGGTTCTAGTCTGCTGGTTATTGCTTCCAAAATGTTCCCACTTAAAGGTCAGAAAGTTACATGTGCCTTTTTCATAACTGGCTAGGAATTTGAAAGCCAGAGTGACCTAGCACTTATTTTAAGGGGTGTTTAAATTTGCAGAAAGGCAGTTTCTCTTAAGACAAGCTCAGAATCTGATGACTACATCAGGTCCCCCCCATGGTTTTCTTAATAATAATACAAAAGTGACTTGCCATTACTGAATATCTTGATAGTCTTGATGTATCTCTGCAACTTTCTTCTCAAAAAACAAAACTATGCCTGTTTTCAGCCTTCAGAGTCTCCCCCCCACCAAACACTTATTCCAGTAGGTTACATTTTGGGGAAGGTATAGGATTGGGACACAGTGGCTAAGACGCTGAAGTTGTCAATCAGAAAGTCGGCAGTTCAGCGGTTCGAATCCCTAGTGCTGTGTAATGGAGTGAGCTCCCGTTACTTGTCCCAGCTTCTGCCAATCTAGCAGTTCTAAAGCACGTAAAAAAATGCAAGTAGAAAAATAGGGACCACTTTGGTGCGAAGGTGACAACGATCCATGCACCTTCGGCATTTAGTCATGCCGGCCACATGACCAAGGAGACGTCTTCGGACAGTGCTGGTTCTTCGGCTTAGAAACGGAGATGAGAACTCTAGCCGGAAACGACTAGCATGCATGTGCAGGGGAACCTTTACCTTACCTACAGGAATGGGACAGTGAAAGAGCAAAATGGGTGCTTTAGCTATGATATAGGTTTAAGGTGCTTGTTTTAATACTTAAATATTCTCACTTGATAAAAAAAGTCCTGCCTCTGCTTATTTTTGCACATGCTGCATTAAGAGAAGTTGCATGCCTTCATAATTACTTTAGGTAATGCTTAATATTAGGGATCTGCAATACCGTATTAAAGACTGTTTAAACCTGCCCAGTACCTAAATTGGACAGGATTTGCTCAAGTGACCTTTTCTGCTTTATTTATTTATAAAATGTATATGGTTGCTCATTTTAAGTACATTTGCAAAAAAAAAAAAGTCTGCATAAAAGAAAATTAGTCCAAAATTAAAATAATAACGTAACTTGTGAATGGGAAAGCATAACATCCCGAGTCTAAAACATAAGGAAAAAGCCAGATCTTACCAGCTTTCTGATGGCTGAGAGAGTTAGAGCCAAGTAAATAATGATCTTTTCAAAACACAAATTGTGCTTGCTTGATTTTAAATGAATTTTATTCTTTTCTTACTCGATTTATTCTTTTTTATTATTCAATTCTTATTCTATCACTTTTGTTTTATTGGGGAAAATGTCACTTTAAAGTAAAGAGTTGGATACCTACCAAAATAAAGAAGCATAAACTATATGAATTGGTGATTTTCTTTTGTTACCAAGTTATTTCATAACACATATAGCAATAGCAATAACACTTAGACTTATATACCACTTTATAGTGCTTTACAGCCTTCTCAAAGCAGTTTACAAAGTCAGCATATTGCCCCCAACAATCTGGGTCCTCATTTTACCCACCTCGGAAGGATGGAAGGCTGAGTCAACCTCGAGCCTGATGAGATTCCATCTGCCAAATTGCAAATTGTAGAAGTAGCTTGCAGTACTGCACTCTAACCACTGCACCACCAAGGCTCCTATATACCTTGTGTCTTGCCCCAGACATTTATCAGCCTGACATTTGTTTCCTTATGGTGCTTAGTAACCAGGTACACATACACTGATTATATCTTGGCTCTATTCCCATCTCTTTAAATCAAATATTTTGCTATTAGCATGAGCAAAACCTAGGCCACCACAAGTGCTTTGATTCATCTTGTAGA